CTGAATCTGTAGACTTTAAGTCCCTTGACTTCCCCTGGAACTGGTCCGTCCAGCTGGTCTTCTGGGGGAGGGGCCTGCTGTGCTGATTTTCAGGTGTTAGCACTTGGGGGAGCTGCTCTGCCCCTGCCTGCTGCAGGGCTCAGTGGGGGTTGTTTACCCCGTGAGGCCCCAGGAGGATCAGCCGCAGTTGCTATGGCAACTCTGGAAGCCTGGATTCAGCCTCCGCAGGAACTACGGGGCTCGGGGCTCTCGGTTCTCCGTCTGCAGGGCCTGGAGGCTCCGGGGCGGGGCCGCTGATCTGCTCAGCTCGGGGCAGGAGCGTCCTCGCTGTCCTGGGCCCTCCCGGCCTCTGCCTGTCCCGGGGGAGGCCGGATCCTGGGCTGTGTCCCGGCGCCCTGTGCTCCGGGGCCTGCGCTGGTGGATTCGCGCTCCCGCCCCGCAGCCCCCTCCGCGGAGCCGCCGCCCGAGCCCATCCGAGCTGCTCCGGTCGTCCCGCCGTGCGCGCTGCAGCCCTTAGGGAGCTCGGCGCACTCTCCGGGGCGCAGGTGTCTGTTAGTGTCCCCGGGAGCCCGAGGGCATCCCCGCCCTCCTGGGTCCTGCTCTAACTCTCTGCGAGCCCCTTTCCGCCCACCCGGGAAGGTTGGTGCAGCTCCTGCTCCTCCGGGACGGGGCTCTCCTGTCCTGGGGACACTCGCCCCGGCCTCAGCCCGGCTCCTCGCGGGCCCCTCCCCCTCGGAGGCCTTTTGTTTCTTTATTTCTTTTTCCCCGTCTTCCTACCTGATAGAAGCGCGAACTCTTCTCACTGTAGCCTTCTAGCTGGTCTCTCTTTAAATCTCAGGCCGAATTCGTAGATTTTCAGGATGATTTGAAGGTTATCTAGGTAATTTGGTGGGGACAGGTGATTTGGGGACCCTACTCTTCCGCCGTCTTGCCCCTCCTCCTCCCCTGCATGAAATTTTAAATCACCTTGTCTAGTTCCAAAACATCCTGTTGATATTTTTATTGAGATTTTGTCTAGTTTTTTTTAAATAATAAATTTATTTTTTATTGGTGTTCAATTTACCAACATACAGAATAACACCCAGTGGTCATCCCGTCAAGTGCCCCCTCAGTGCCCGTCACCCAGTCACCCCCACCCCCTCCCTCCTCCCCTTCCACCACCCCTAGTTCGTTTCCCAGAGTTAGGAGTCTTCATGTTCTGTCTCCCTTTCTGATATTTCCTACCCATTTCTAGTTTATAAAATAACTTAAAATTAGCATCTTTTTGTTTTCACATTTCTCATGGCCTGTTAAAGCCAGGCCTTCAAGCCTGGGAGAAGATTCTGGGGAGCTGCTGGCATCAGGCCTGCTTTTTTCTTGAGCTTCGTGCCTTCCATTTCAGCCTCCAAGGATTCTCCCATTCTTTCTCACCAGTTCAGCTCTCCATTTAAAAAGGTGTTTTAAATTTTTATTTCCATTTTTAAGTGTTTTTAACTTGGACAGTATTTCAGGATAGCTAGATTGCTATGTTGAGGGAAGTCTGAATTATATCTTTAAACATTTGTTTTGTTCTGTGAATATGATTTCTTTCAGGGATCCTGAAAAAAAATTTTCAGGGATGATTCCCATGTTAGATCTTCCTTGCCTGTCTTCTCATTATTTTTTCAAATCCTCTAAAACTCCTGCTCCCTTTTCATTTTGTTTGCTCTTTTCATTTTTATCTTTTACAATGTCTTCTGCAGTCTTCACTTTCTGCCCTTTTTATTTGTCATCCTTTTTGTGGTTTCATTTATTTTTTCTTTCATTTTTTTCCCTGAGCTCTGCTACTGCTCTTCCTGCTGTTTTGCCACCTCGTGCCGGTGCATTTGCTTCTGTTTTGTATTTTTATTTCATGACAGTGATTTCTGTGTCATATGCTTTTCGGTTTTCTTCTATTGCCATAGAGTTTGTGGCTTAGATTTTTCCTTGATTTCTCATTGTAAGTCACCTTTCTTGGGCCAGTTAGTTTTAGAATATTTGTGTGAGGAGGGCCAGGGCACTGTCAGGACCATTGGAGTTTTGAGTGTGAGCTCAGTTAGCTTTTACTCCTTTCCAACTCAACAGGATTACGCAGCCCTGGGTTTTTTGAGAATCCAAAGTATCTCTTCTCCCTGACTGACTTAGAGATGAGACTGTTCCCTGTGAATATGGCTTGGTTGTTGTTTGTTGTTGTTTCTCACTTAGTGAATTAGTAGTTGCCTTTTTTGGCTTCTTAAAACAATATTGGATATAGGGGAGCTCCTGCCAGTGTTGTTGCAGCACAGAGATTTAGGTTTCTGTGCTGTGTCTGCAAAGCATGCAGCGTTCTCTGTGAAATCTATAGCTGCAGTATGCTCTCTGCTTCCTTCTGTATGCACTCCTCTTTGATCTCTGCTGTGTTGAGGTGGGACCCTTCCACTTAATTTATGATGTGGTCTTGTGGTTTTTCTGAAAAGGAACTCGTTTTTGTTTTCTATTCTTGTTGACCTTGGTTTCTGGGGAATGGGGAAGTGTTGATTTTAGACCATCATTTGCAAACTAGAAGACCTCCCTGTAAAGTTTTTATTAATATTTAAAATGAAAAACGTGGACATCTTAATTATTGTTTTTGACTTGTTATTGCGAAACAACTATAGGCTTTAATGCATCATTGTATGTTTTATTCGGGAATCCCTAGAGGACTTATTTGACAGATGAAATTTAGACAATTGTACATTTTTTTAAATTTAGACAATTATATGACTAAACAAGTTACAGAAAACTGAGCACAAAAAAGTACATATTTTTTTACATTTCCCTGCCCTTCCCCACAAAAGATTGTGAATGCTATTTAAACGCTGGTTAGTTCTTGTAGGAAACATCAAACTTTCAAATTTACTTAATAATAAGTATATATGGTTGAAGCATTTAAATGGTAATAGATTTAATTTAGAGGCCTGAAACCTTTTATCATGAATTCAGTTATCTCTGAATTCATTAACAATTTCAGTTTTATAAGTCTGAATTGCAGAATCAGAGAATAGTTAAGTTGTACCCTGGCCAGATCCCACCCCAGGGATAATACAGAAGATGTATGGAATGATTTTTCCCCTTAGAAATTTAAAATATAAAAACTCAAAGCAATGACATTTGGTAAAGCACTTCTAGGTCCTGTACTGGTATGGTCATCTATCAGCCTTCCCCAGAATCCCCGTTTCTTTAATGGCATGTGTTCTTGCTTTTCAAATATAGGACTTCAGAATTACCCCTTTTATGTCTATTCTTTCAACTTGTTCTTGGTATGAAATTGGAAGTCCTAATCTTTCACCAGATTTACACATTATTTTTGTTGAAATTATGTTTCACAACAAGTCACTCGTCAGGAGTCACATTCTTAGGCTTCAGGATGAAATGGAACTAACGCTTAGCCTCTCTCTAGTTCACTAATGGGTGAAAAGGAGTGCTGCACACTTAGGAAGGGAAGTGGAGGAAGTCAAAATGTACATACTCCTGTTCCCCTCTTCAAGTTACTCAGTCTTTCCCTTTGTTTTTTAATTTTGGCAGAGAGTTGTGGTTTTGGTGTTTGAGATAGTTGAGGTAGAGAAATGGAAATGTTCAGGTATTTGGGAGAAGTGGAAGTGTTATTGTGTCCTTGGAAGAAGAATACAGTTATCTGAAGAAATAAAAACATATTAACTTATTTTGGCCACTTGTCTACACATAGAGGAGTCCCAGTGGGACTCTGTTGTAAGGGGTAACTAAGGACCATGCAAAGTCATTTTTTTTAATAAGAAATTTATTTTTTATTGGTGTTCAATTTGCCAACATACAGAATAACACCCAGTGCTCATCCCGTCAAGTGCTCCCCTCAGTGCCCGTCACCCATTCACCCCTACCCCCCACCCTCCTCCCCTTCCACAACCCCTAGTTCATTTCCCAGAGTTAGGAGTCTTTATGTTCTGTCTCCCTTTCTGATATTTCCTACCATTGCTTCTCCCTTCCCCTCTATTCCCTTTCACTATTATTTCTATTCCCCAAATGAATGAGACCATATAATGTTTGTCCTTCTCCGATTGACTCATTTCACTCAGCATAATACCCTCCAGTTCAATCCACGTTGAAGCAAATGGTGGGTATTTGTCGTTTCTAATGGCTGAGGAATATTCCATTGTATACATAAACCACATCTTCTTTATCCATTCATCACAAAGTCATTTGTTATTTGGTAGTATTCATTAAGGAGAGTTCTTGTTCCTGTAAATTATGCCATTGTTTGTTCCTCTCTCTCCTTTCTCCCTATAGTGATGAAAATAGCTTGAGAGCAGAGGTAGGCTCTGTGGAATGATTATATGTATGTATCTTAATGAGAAGAAAATGTATTAAAAATACATTATGCTTGGCATAGTAGCTGCTCAGTAAATAATCTACTTTATTTGTTAAACTTTTTATTTTTGAACTAATTAACAGGAAGTTTCAAAAAGATATACAAGGGGGTCCCATTCACTCTTCACCCAGCCTCTCCTGATTTAACATCTTGTATTTCTATAGTACACTATCAAAACCAGGGAAATGACATCAGTACAATCCTTAAAGCTTATTCTGTTCCACCAGATATGCAAGGCCTCGTGTGTGTGTGTGTGTGTGTGTGTGTGTATTTGAGTGTGTGTGCCTGTCTGCGTGGGTATAATTCGCACTTTTATTACATGTATAGTTTTGTATAATCATCACAATTGAGATACCTGACTGTACCATTACCATTTCAAGGGTTACCTGTTTATAGCCACACTCCCTGCTCTCCATCCATAGTCCATAGCAGCCACAGATTTGTTCTTCAACTCTGTAATTATGTTATTTCAAGAATGCCTTATAAATGGAACCATGCAGTAGTATCCTTTTGAGTTACTTTTTTTTTGAATCTCTTTGCTTTTTAGTTACAGCATTTTAATGCTATTGACTTTTGCTTATTGATGATAGCACTTTGGTTTAGTAAAGAAAATGTTCAAATTTTGTTTTGTCTTATTCAGTAGGTTTTACTTGCCAACATATAAGTCATGCTATCAGTGTGAATCATGTGAAGAAAGCAATAGCTGAGAATGTGTGGTCAGTTTGCTCAGAATGTTTAAAAGAAAGAAGATTCTGTGACGGGCAGCCAGTACTTCCCTCTGACGTTTGGTTGTGCCTCAAGTGTGGATTTCAGGTCAGAAAAATGATTTTTATCTGTGAATTTGTCTTAGATATTTTTCTTCTATGCTTATTGTGAGTTGGACTGTTGGTAATGTTTAGAACTTAAATTTATTCCATGTTTAGATAGAACTCTCCAAGGCTGAACTTAGAAATATTTGTTAAGGCAGAGTAAAATGTATGTTATTTTTATAAAGTAATCATGTTTGGTATAGAAATACTTTGAAAGGGAATCCAACCTACCTGCAGTAGTTCTCATGTCTTACTTGCCTTTACCTATTTGTGTTTACTTAAGAAATGGATCCAAGTTTTTTTGCATCTTACTAGATTAATTTTTTTAAAGATTTTATTTATTTATTCAAGAGAGATACACAGAGAGAGAGAGAGAGGCAGAGACACGGGCAGAGGGAAGAGCAGGCTCCATGCAGGGAGCCTGACATGGGACTCGATCCTGGGTCTCCGGGATCACAACCTGGGCTGAAGTCGGCGCTAAACCACTGAGCCACCCGGGCTGCCTCATTAGATTAATTTTTTTTTTCTATGAAAAGATTTTTTTCAAAACAATTTTTCTGAACAGCTTAGAAGGTATTACTATCTGTAATATCCTTTGAATAACATTTAAGATGTGTATAATTTTTCTAAAATAAGAGGAATCCTTATTATCTCACATGGTTCGTAAGTAGGACCACTTCAAGGCTAGTTAATTCAATGAAAAGGACATTGAAAACTAACGTTTCTTACATTTTTCTTTTGTGCCACTCTCACTTTCATGGCTTTTTATGGCCAAAGATGTTTCATGCATTATGTATCATACAGCAATCCCCAAAGACCAGAAAGAGGGCAAAAAGTACATCCTTTCCCTGTTTTTGTTTTTAAATGTATGAAACTTTCCATGAAACATCTAATAGACTACCCCTTGAGTTGCACTGGCCAGAACTGGAACTCATTTCTTTACTTACCTGGTGAGGGAAATTACTGGATTGGTCTGAGTCTCAGTATAAGTTTGCATATGATTTAAGTTTTGATTAATTTAAACAAATTTATATGTAGATCATACAAATAACATTCTATTCCTCTGTAGGGTTGTGGTAGAAACTCAGAGAACCTTCATTCACTGAGGCACTACAAGAGTTGGAGAACAGAATCTCACTGTATTACAATTAGTCTGAGCACGTGGGTTATATGGTAAGTTAGATGTTACAACTTATGTCCACTACAAAAAATACCATTTTCTTTGAGCTTTCCAAGGTAAGATATTTTGAGATGTTATACCAACGTATGCTTTTTAGCCTGAACACAACCTGTGGAATGCTTTAAGAAAACTAATATTACCCGTAGATATAAAATTTAAATAAGGAAAAGTTGAGTCATCCTTCTACATTTTTAAGACTTTTCTTCATAGGATAAAGAAAACATTCTTCCTAGTTGATTTTTTGTAATGAATTTGCTAATACAGAATTCCAGAGTTCTACTAGAGAAGGAAGGTGCTTTAAGCAGTCAAGTGGTTGGGTGATTCCCTACAGGGAAGGGGTAAGCCTGGGCATTTGTAGTTTTGTAAAAACCTCTCAGGTGATTCTACTACTTAATCCTGGCTGGGAACCACGTCCAGTATCTTCATTTTAAATATAAAGACACTGAGTATCATTTACTCTTTTATGGTTACAAAGTAAAAGTCCAGGCACTAAATCAAGTCTTTTGATTTGCTAGTTTCTTACCAGCATACCACACTGGCTTCAGTGGTAGAAGTGGATACTGTATCAAAAAACTTTGCATATATTTTACAATAAACTTTTCTTTTTTTATATATGTATTTATCCAACAGAAATTTTCTAAATGGAATCTATAGATTCCTGTAGATTCCTTGAATGAATTTGCAAAAGTTTTCAAGTTTTCCTTGAACAGAGATTTTCAATTTTTTTTTTTAAGATTTTATTTATTTATTCATGAGAGACACACAGAAAGAGACAGAGACATAGACAGAGGGAGAAGCAGGCCCCATGCAGGGAGCCCGACGTGGGACTCCAGGATCACGCCCTGAGCCAAAGGCAGACGCTCAACCACTGAGCCACCCAGGCGTTCCAAGAGATTTTCAATTTTAAGACAAAAATATTTTAACTCTGTGTTTTCGCTTCTGGGTTCTAAAATTTATATAACGATATTTTGGCTTATAGAACAGATAATCATAATTTGTGGTACAGGTCACGTACTTGCTGCATATGTTTTTGTTTGGGTTGGCCCCAAGTAATAATACTGCGGAGAAGGAGGAAAGCTTGGAGATAGCTTTCTCTGTGCATGATACACTGGAGCCTGAGGGAGAGGAGGATGATGCCATAGTGTGGCAGCTTAGGAAATATTTCCCTGTAGTCTGAATAGAGCAGTGGTCTCAAACAATGGGGCACATCACAATCACCAGGAAGGCTTGTTAAAATAGATTGCTGGGCCTCAGCCTGGAGATTCTGATTTAGTAGTTCCTGGGTAGGGCCTAAGTATTTGCATTTCTAACAAGTTCCTAGGTGTTGTCAATGCTGCTGGTCTGGGGACCACAATTTGAGCATCACAGGAATAGAGGAAGGTAGAGGGAGAATTGAGTCACACCTGTTAGAATAGAATGATTTCAAGTGAGCCTGTATCAGAACTTTTTGTTGTGGCTCATAGGACCACATCATGGTATGAATGATGATATAATTTCAGCAAAAACAAAACCAAAAAAAAAACAAAAAAAAAAACAAAAACCCTTACCTAGCACAATAGTGTTGTTAATTTTAACACTATTGATTTTATAATTTTGTTTTTATGCTTAATTGTAAATTTTGCTTTCATAGATACATAGAGTTATAAGGCTGACCAATTTATTGGTCATTTTGTGAGAATGAGATTTCTATTATAATGAAAATAATTTAAGTCACATTTGGGGGTCTGTAAAATTATTTTCCATTCTAAGGAAGAAATTCAAGTTGGTCACATGTATTTACAGAAATTTAAAGTTTGAGACTATTTTCTTTTTCACATCTAATTCTTAAACCTTAAAAAGTTTAACAGTTATATTGTTATATAGAACTCTTTAATTTTTTTAAAAAGATTTTTATTCATTTATTCATGAGAGACATAGAACGGCAGAGACAGAGTCAGAGAGAGAGAAGCAGGTGCCCCACAAGGAGCCTGATGCGGGATTTGATCCTAGGACCCAGGATCACAACCTGAGCCAAAGGAGGACGCTTAACCGCTGAGCTACCCAGGCATCCCTAGAGCTGTTTAATTTTTTTAAGATGTTATTTATTTATTCATGAGAGACACACAGACAGAAAGAGGCAGAGACATAGGCAGAGGGAGAAGCAGGCTCCATGCAGGGAGCCTGGCGTGGGACTCGATTCCGGGGCTCTGGGATCACACCCTGGGCCGAAGGCAGGCGCTAACCTACTGAGCCACCCAGGGATCCCTGAGCTGTTTAATTCTAAGATGATAATATTCTTTTGGTTGTTGTGAGGAATTAAACCAGAAAATGCATGTAAGGCATTTATAGCAAGTAGATGCTCAATTACATTTTTTTTTTGTTATTTCTAATGGAAACAAAATTAATTTATGTTGTGCTATCCTCTTTTCTTCAAATTCACTGCTATTGTGTTTTTTTAATTTACATTTTCTTTTTGTACTCTTCAAAGTTACAATATATTTTATACCGAATAAAAATTAGATTGCAATGTCAATAAAAATTTCTTGACATTTCAATATTTTGCAAATGAGCAATTTTTGCTAGTTTTGGTAATAATTACATTAGTAAATTTTGAGCATTTATTATAGTGTAAGCCTGGTAACTCTAATTACATTATTTGAATTCCATCATGGTCTGTTAGAAAAGGTGTTTTAGGAATGTTTTCTGTGACTTGTTTCCTTCAAGATTTATGTATATGAGTCTATGTATTTCTGTGTGCAAGTGATAGAGTAATACTTGTATTTTGAGTAAAAATAAATATTTGAATTTTGAGTGCTGTTTAGAAAAGAACCCCCCCAAAAAAAGAAAAGAAACCCAAATCTAATTTATAGATTTCTAATCTATAGGTTCTAATCTCAGAACCACTAGTAATTATAAGATTGTGACTATGTAACGTGATGCTGCTATAACACATATTTTAAAACACTTTTAATACATTCAAATATATGTTTTTATTTGACCATTGGATCTTATGAAGATAAAGGAAACAGGTAATAAGAATACATAGAAAAAATCTTTATTAATACTAAATGCGCTAATGAGTAAGCTTATGGAGGGCAGTTTTCTAAAAAGGAATGTGCTTTTAAAAATCTCTTTGTGGGGGATCCCTGGGTGGCTCAGCGGTTTGGCGCCTGCCTTTGGCCCAGGGCGCGATCCTGGAATCTGGGGATCGAGTCCCACGTCAGGCTCTCGGCATGGAGCCTGCTTCTCCCTCCTGTCTCTCTGCCTCTCTCTCTCTATGTCTATCATAAATAAATAAATAAATCTTTAAAAAAAAAAAATAAAAATAAAAATCTCTTTGTGGGCAGCCCCGGTAGCGCAGAGGTTTGGAGCCACCTGTAGCCTGGGGTGTGATCCTGGAGATCCGGGATCAAGTCCCACATCGGGCTCCCTGCATAGAGCCTGCTTCTCCCTCTGACTGTGTCTCTGCCCCTCTCTCTCTGTGTCTATGAATAAATACATAAAATCTTAAAAAAAAATAAAAATCTCTTTGGGAACTTTCTCTTCCCACCTAAGCCCCAAAGAAAATAAAACGTTTACCCAGTCTTCCCCATCTCTACAAGTGGCATCTCCATCACTTAAGTATTCAAGCCAGAAGCCTAGCAGTTACTTTATTTCCCTTTTTATCTTGTTTTATTTTTTAATCCTTGAACAAAATGATATAATGAAATCCTCTATACCCACTACCCAGCTTTAAACATTCCCAACTCACAGCAAGTCTTCTTTCTTCTAGACCAGAATTTCTCAATCTCAGTGCTGTCGTCATTTGAGGTGATAATTCTTTGCTGTGAAAGGACCATCCTGTACATCAAAGGATGTTTAGCACTGTCTACCTTGTGGATACCAGTAGCAGCTTCCCCAGTTCTAACAGCCAAAATGTCTCAAAACATTCCCACATGTTCCCTAGGGAGCAAAATTGCTCCTGTTTGAGAATCATGGACTTACCCCACATCCACTTCCCCCTTTCCATGGCAATTATTTTATACTTCCCCGTTTCTACCTGAAATATGTGTAAAGTAGATCTGTTCATTTTTCTCCAGATCTACTGCTTTTACCCTGATATACCTGCTTCTGTTCCTGATTTCCTCCATCTGACATTAGTCAGAGTGATGTTTTTAAAATATAGATTGGGGGCACCTGGGTGGCTTAGTGATTGAACAGCTGCCTTCAGTTCAGGGCATGATCCCAGGGGCTTGGGATCGAGGCCCACATCAGCTCCCTGCAGGAAGCCTGCTTCTCCCTCTGCTTATGTCTCTGCCTCTCTCTGTGTCTCTCATGAAAAAATTAATTAAAAATCTTTTTTAAAAAATAAAATATAAATTGGATCACATCACTTCCCTGCTTAAAGATTTCCTCGTGGCTTTCCATTACACTTGGGATAAAGTATCAAAACTTTATTTTGAATGATAGGCTCTGTATGAACTGTCTTCTCTAGAATTACCTAATGCCTCACTCTAAATATACTCTCCCCTGCCATTTCAGACAAGATTGGATAATTATCAACTTTATTACTTTATTACCTGGTGTACAACATTAATGAACATGCTTTCATAATATTTGCTTACATATTTATATTTTTTCAGGTGTTATGAATGTGATGAAAAACTATCAACACATTGTAATAAGAAGGTTTTGGCTCAAACAGTTGATTTTCTCCAGAAACATGTTTCTAAAACACAAACAAGTAAGTTAAGCAGTTGCTAAAGAAATTTGTATTAAAAAAAATTAAGACAAAAAGAAATTTGTATTAAAGTATGATATTCTGTATTTCATATAGAGTTTATAAGTTCATAAATAATGCCTTAGATTTTTGCTGTGACCTCTCCACACAAGTGCCATGCATTCCTAAGTAGCAATCTTGTGATGTTATCTTGTGTTGTATTTACATAACTAAAATGAGAAGCTAGAGAGGGTGGTGACTGGATCATGGGCTTCGGAGTCACACAGTGCTGAGTTTGAATTTGGGCTTCACTTAAATTACTTAGTTTACTTTAAAAATTAGGATGATATTTCTATTGTGTGGGCTTATTGTGAGGATTACAGAAAATGTTTTCTAAAAATTGAGAAATAATGTATTTAAAAATACTTATATAATGCCCAGGACATATTTCTGAAATGATATCTATTATTCGTTACATAATCATAGTGCAGTTCTGACATTACCCGGAGTTAGGCTAATCTTACAGATTAAGCTCTATTTTCTACAGCCCAATATACAGTTGTTTTTGTTAGCTATTGCTCTGAGACAGTAAGGGCAAACAAATACCAAAGGAATTGGAGAAGGTAAGCACAGGTTCGGACAGCTGAAGAAATGATGAATTTTATTCACTCATTTATTCAACAAACATTTATTGAAACCTTAGTCTGTCTCAGGCATACAAGTCAGAGCTCCAATTCTACTCAAATAAAGAACCAGGAAAATATGGTGATAATAGACATTTACCACTTCAGGAAAGGGTCGCCTGAGTGGCTCAGTGGTTGAGCATCTGCCTTCGGTTCAGGGCCTGATCCCAGGGTCCTGGGATCGAGTTCCGCATTGGGCTCCCTGCAGGAAGCCTGCTTCTCCCTCTGCCTGTGTCTCTGCCTTTCGCTGTGTTTCTCATGAATAAATAAATAAAATCTTAAAAAAAAACAAAAACAAAAGCAAAAACACACTTCAGGAGCAGATGTTGGTCTTAATGCTGCCTCCTGAAAACTGCACATTTAATGTGGGTTTTTTTTTCCCCCCACAATAAGATATGTAGGGATATGATGGCACGGTGGCAAAAGTCCAGTTGTAGGAAATGTTTTATCGGGATTTTTTTTTTTCACCTTAGACGTTTCTTGAAGAATAAAGCCAGTCTGATTTCATTCCAGTTTTACAGATTTCTTGAATATTTATTATCATAATGTATGTAAGGTTGGGAGCATGGAATGATATGGTACAAAGACCATGGGCCTTGTCAGAGTGTGGGGTCTGGCATTCATATTGGACTCTTTCAGTCACTGGCTATATGACCTGGGGTGGGTTACAGTTCATCTGAGCCTCATTTTTCTCAGCAGTTCCTCCGTCTTTTTCATGGTGCTTCAGGGAATAGAGATTGATAAGACAGTTCCTGTCCTAAAGAATAATGATAAGCAGAATGGAGTTATATTTTGATGTTCAGATATTCTAAAAGGGTTGTAATATTCAATTGAAAGGAAGTGAGAAAGAATTGTGAATGAGTTGGCTTCAGGCTGAAGAATTTTGGGTAGGTAGAGGTTAGAAAAGCAATCATTTCGAGTAGTGGGAAGCACTGGTGCAACCCTTAACTGTGTTTATGGAACCATGGGTAGCACCTGGAATGCTGGGAAACAGATTCTTGAGGGAGCTTGAGAGTGTGTCGAGCCTTCAAAGTTAGGGAGAGATCTAATTCTGAATTCAAGGTTTCCAGAAGTTCCAGGTCAAAATGTCATTTTGTTTGTGTTCCATGCTACAATATCTCTCAGGCAAGTTTGATTTAAAATAAGATCTGTTGGCATTTGAGAAGTAAGGTTTTTGGGATAGTAATCTGTAATATTCTTTCTGGTCTGAGGCTTTATTTTTATAAAATACATTAAAAATCAGATATGAAAGTTTCTGTTGAGGTTTGTAGGAATGCTGGATTATGATTATGCAGCTATTTTATTTTTTATTTTTAAGATTTTATTTTTTTTATTCACGAGAGACACAGGGAGAGAGGCAGAGAGAGACATAGAGGGAGAAGCAGGCTGCCTGCAGGGAGCCCAGTGCAGGACTCGTTGCCCGGACTCCAGGATCACGACCTGAGCCAAAGGCAGATGTTCAACCACTGAGCCACTCAGGTGCCCCTATGCAACTATTTTTAAATCACAGTTGTAGAGACTGTAGAAATATAATAATGTCTGAATATGGTAATGAAAAAAAGATTATGAAACTATACTGTATTTTAGGTGGGAGGATAAGAATGGTTTTAAAGGATTCTTTTTATATTTTGCTCTAAGAAAAATAACTGCTGAGAAAAGCCTCTATCTGTACTTTACACATGTTAAGTTATGCAAATCCTGAACAATTTCATGTCTAATAACATCTATTACATCTAATTTAGCTACTCTGCACAGAGAAATCTAGACCAGTGCCCCATCCTTTTGTAAATACCACCAGCTCAGTGAATCTCAGCTTTTGGTCTCAATAGCCTGTTAAGAGTCCTAAAATTTTAGTGAAGACTTAAAGAGCTTTGCTTAGGTAGGTTATATCTATCAATATTTAATGTATTAGAAATTTAAAAATAACAATATTTATGAAATCACTGAAAAATAGCAATAATTTCCATGATATGTTAACACAATATGTTTTTAGGAAAGATAACTATTTTGTAAAACAACACAAACTTCATAAGTGGCACTGTTTTACATTGTTTACCTATAGCTTAATAAAAACCGTTGGATTCTCCTATCTACTTCGTATTCAGTCTATGATATGGTGTGTAGTCTCTGGAAAACTGCATTATGTAACTGAGAATGAGTGAAAGTGTAAAAAAAAAAAGCAAATAATATAGGCTTATTGTGAAAATACTTTTGACGTTATGGACGGGGAAAGGAGGAGGGTGTCTTCAGATCCACTTTTAGAACTGCTGAACTAGCACGTTTCTGTCTGTACTTTCTGTTTTCACCCTCATTTGTCCTAAGTTGCGGTTCTGTTCTCTTTGATTCTCAATGTTGCTAAGCAGTAAATACTTGCTGATTTGAACGGAGCTTTCATGTGACTAGTTTTTACTGAGAAGTAGAATAGACTTTGCATTTTCACCAAAAAAAGTCCTGACTACGGGGGATCCCTGGGTGGCGCAGCGGTTTAGCGCCTGCCTTTGGCCCAGGACCCGATCCTGGAGACCCAGGATCGAATCCCACGTCAGGCTCCTGGTGCATGGAGCCTGCTTCTCCCTCTGCCTGTGTCTCTGCCTCTCTCTCTCTGTGTGACTATCATAAATAAATAAAAATAAAAAAAAAAGTCCTGACTACTAATCTCAAAATTATCTTATTCATTCGGCTTTTAATATACTGAGCTACTACTACTACCTCGTGCTAAATGCTGTGCTAGGTACTGGAGATACAATAGTGAATGAAAGAGATCTATTTCTGTTTCTGCTATTTAATAGATCTTCTGGTCAGGTGAGGAATATTGACAAATCATACTTAATTGCTTAGGTAGTGCTGTGATGCAGCAAATGCAGGGGACTATGAGGACCCTTTGGAGTAGTATATAATGTAGACCAGCTATTTTTATTTAGAGCAAGAACCTCCTTCTTCTTCTTTTTTAAGATTTTATTTATTTAAGAGGGAGAGCGTTTTGGAGTGCATGGGATCAGCAGGGGGAGGAGGAGGGCCAGAGGAAGGCCAGAGGGAAAGGGAGAAGCAGACTCCCGCTGAGTGGGAGTTCCATCCCAGGACCCCAAGATCATGACCTGAGCCAAAGTCAGACGCTTTTTTTTTTTTTAAGATTTTATTTATTTATTCATGAGAAACACACACAGAGAGGCAGAGACATAGGCAGAGGGAGAAGCAGGCTCCTTGCAGGTAGCCTGATGTGGCACTTGAAACCAGGACCCCGGGATCACGACCTGAGCCGAAGGCAGATGCTCAACCACTGAGCCACGCAGGCACCCCAAAGTCAGACACTTAACCGACTTAGCCACCCAGGCGCCCCTAGAGCAATAGCCTTCGAAGCCAAGAGCTGAAGGGTATGTAGAAATTAGGTGCACAAGGAGGAAAGGAGTATGTGTTCCAGACAGAGGAACTAGCTCATTGATGAGGGAGCCTGATAATGTTCAGGGAATTCTATAGGGCTGCAGGTTGAGTTTTGTGATGTTGGGGGATGGTGAGAGGGTGAGACTAGAGGTAAGTAGGAACAGATATTGTAGGGCCTTGTAAGTTTAGAGTTTATCCTATAGGCAGTTAGGAACCACTAATGGATTTTTAAGTGGAGAAGTGGATAATCAGTTTTGTATTTTAGAAAAACCACTTAACTGTAATAGAAATGCCTTTGTATGTATACCTACTCATTCATGTGCATATAAATTTATTATATGACTAAAGATTTTTTTTAAGGCTGATGATTAGGAGTTAGTGGAATTTTGAAAATAGGTGAAGTAATCATTTGGTTCCAAGGTACAGGAGTAGTGGGGCAGGCAAGTGTTGTCTTTTTACTCTTTAAAGATTAAACTTTTCAGCTGTAGAAATGGGCAAATTACATTAATACTACATGACTGGCTTAGGTAATTGCATTAAGCAATTGAGGAAATCCCAGTGCAGGTTCCCATAAGAATGCTTACAGCTGTGTAGATTTCACATCTGATGCTAGGATTTGCTTAAAAAAAGAAATGTCCATATCTCCCCCTCAAACACATACCAGAAAACTAAAACCAATAAGCATAATAAGAAGGTCACATATAACAGAAGATTAAAAAAAAAGGCAAGAAAACTTGATTGTGAAAACAGAAATATGTATTATTAATAATGGGCCATTGTTCTCTGAGGGCTCAAGAGATTTGTCACTTTGATAGTCTTGTAAATGTCATGTAAATATTCTACAAACACTTCCTGAATATAGGTTTTCCTGGTGAAATATCATTCAATATTGGTTTGCTTTTTGTGAACTAGACAGATGATAGACAATCCCACATTCTTTTCTGAATACATTTTAATACTGGT